GAATCTGATTCAACTTTATAGATTTGTGAGTCTCTCAGGACGAATGAGCGGAACTACGACCTCCCAATAGGGTCGAACTTACTGCGTGTCTCTGTTAAGTTCCAGAAGAGACTAAATACGGTGAGACGATACTTGTCACCGGTACCCGTCGGTGTAGTACACCTGTGGTCAGTGGGAACACAACTCGTGCGGTGAATCCCGCGCGCGGCGCGCGCGCGCGCGCGCGGTCTTCCTCCGCTCTAGTCTCGTTCGCTCGCCTCCTGGTAACGAGGTGTTGTCAATCCAGCAGCGTATCTACGCAGGCACAGTGCGTGCTTATTTTCCTTTTAATATTTTTTCTTTATTGAATATTTTTTTTTTTTTCGATTCTACCCCAGCCGGCTCTATATGAACCACGCCGGCAATTCATATGGACCCGCCCCCGGGCATTCATAATCAGATTCACACCTTTGGGACGATGACTTTACACGATAACACAAATATACACGACCCCTGGGAAATGATATGTAAAGATTGTATTTTTACAACAAATGAGTTGGAAAGGTCCAAGTGTAATCGGCTGAAGATACTCGCATTGATCGTAATCATGTGATCACAAAGGTAGTGGTTTGCGCAACTATCCGTCTCGATCCTCCGCTTGTTTGTCAAGAGAATCGTCAATCTTTTCGACTTTCTAGGCTAGAATTTTCCCTTTCACCTGTATGTGAAACAACTGTCCTTTGTATTGAGCTAAGGTTTACGTACGTTAACAAGGGAATTAAACACATAACAAAGCGACCCTCTGTATGTCCTGACAGAGTCTTTTAATCTTATAACGACCTATTCAAGAAAATAAAAAGACATTAACGTTAATTTTTTTGTTTTACAGTAATGTAAGACCTAAGTTAATGTTTACGTTGACTTTATAACGTTCGGAAAAGTAATAAAATTATAACGGACTAATACCGTATGTCGAATTCTTTGAGTTTTTAGGCATAGAGTTTTTAATCTTATCGAGAGTCTGGTTCATTTTTTTTTCTAAATATTGTCGTTTTGTGTTAGTTTGTACTTTTACCAGGTAATTACGTGAGTCATGAACCAACCTTCAGGTAAAACGTGCCTATGACGTAGTTACGCCGGCACCGTACCTCCGTTAGTCGGACACCGTAACGACTCACAATTACCTAGGGTCCTACGAAGTTATCGGCCGAAAGATCGAGTAATCGTAACAAACCCAGACACGAGAAAGTCGAAGAAAGAAGTGTGATGGGGTGTATAAGAGATAACCCCAATCGCAGTCCCCTACACGGTGGTCTCAAACGGTGTGGTCACCATTTATGTAAACACATATTTCCATTTGAGAGGGTAGTGATTGGTCTAACAGATAGTGAGGTGGGCTGAAGATCGGAAGGCTGTGAGTTAAAATCCTGCCAGGAACACCACCACTAGTGTGCCCTCGAGTAAGGCACTTACCCCTTAGTTACTCCAGGGAGAATGTCCCTGTAATCGGTCATTATAAGTCGCTTTGGATAAAAGCGTCAGCTAAATTAAATGTAATGTGATTAGTAAAATATGCATTAATAAATAAATAAAAAGTTAACTAGGTGAAAAAAGGTAAGATACACTTTTAAAACTTGTTGAGAGCTAAAACTAGTCTTTGCTGCTGCCTCAAAGAGGAGCAGGGAGGAGAGGAGAGAGACAGGAGAGGCTGATTCAGGAGCACAGACACACTCACAACTATAAATGAACCAAAAATAAATTAATAAACAAGTTTCAGTGTTTTTTTCATATTGGAAATGGTATGTTATTGGTTATGGCCATAATTTTATTATTATTGAAATCGTATACAGTTCTGCTTAATATAGGTGTTTCCATAGATCTAGTCTCTTTATTTTCCCCTCAAAATGCACCAGATTGATGCATTTAACTCCAAAATAAATAAAAAAATCTTACCGGGGGAGCATGCCCCCGGACCCCCCTAGAGGATTTGAGGTCGACCCCCACTTAAAATCACATGGATAGGTTCCTAAATACATTTATAAATACATTAATCTTTTTAAATAGTAACTCATTTCCATATGTTTATGTGTGGGTAGTAGTCAATAAATAAACATGTTGTTAAAACTCATGCGTTGTTTTGTTTTTTTATCAGTCCATTAATTTAGTTCCTTTTTCTAAAATGAACTTAGTGGAATCATTGTTGTCAACTTAATTCTAGCATAGGCGTACCAATAAAATAGCCTGCACCTGATGTCATGCGTTTTCTGACCAACATATTAAAATACTACTAAAGGAAAAAAGAATAAGGCGAATATGCTTGTCTTTAAATAAGTATATCTGCCGCAGATGTAAAGTGTAAGATCCACGCTGAGATTACAGTGTGCTTACCTTCAGCATGACCTCGCAGTAATGCATGTGGGACTCTCCAAACCGGAGCTTCAGCAGCTCCACGTTACGGATTTCTCTGCAAACACAACAGAGAACAAAAACAATCAAAAGAACATTTTGGACACAGTACGCTTCAAACTATGTTTAAGAATCTAGGATTTAAGATATTACCTAAAGCTGCAGAAATGCTCTGTATTGTTTTAAGTAAATACCAATTTCCAACTTGTACATAATTGCAAATACCACTAAGTTAAAGTCCTATTAATAAAATCTATTTATATTTGTAGGATGCAGTACATGCAGTACTTTTTTCTTATGTTAAAAAAAAAAAAAAAAATCTTTAATGTGAAAACCCACGTAGGAAACTATAATCTATAGGGCTTTTTCCAACTGGAAAAAAGTTCCATTGTTACTGCTGTAATCAATCATAGAGTCTTTAAACAACTCTCCTGTTATCTCCATCAGAACAACCTTCTGGATCCGCACCAGTCTGGTTTCAAGGCAGGCCACTTAACAGAAACTGCTCTCCTCGCTGTCTCTGAGGAACTGCACACTGCTAAAGCAGCCTCCCTCTCCTCTGTCATCATCCTTCTGGACCTGTCTGCTGCATTCGACACGGTGAATCATCAGATCCTCCTTCGCACTCTCCAAGAACTTGGAGTTTCAGGCTCTTCACTTTCCCTCCTCACCTCATACCTCAAAGGCCGTACCTACAGGGTAACTTGGAGAGGGTCCGAGTCTGACCATTGTCAATTAACTACAGGGGTCCCTCAGGGCTCTGTTCTTGGTCCCCTCCTCTTCTCCTTGTACACAAACTTGCTCGGATCGGTCATTAGCCCGCATGGTTTTTCATACCAATGCTACGCTGACGACACCCAATTAATTCTGTCCTTTCCCCGCTCAGAGACCCAGGTCGTCTAGCTGACATCTCTCAGTGGATGTCTGCTCATCACCTCAAGCTCAACCTTGACAAGACTGAACTGCTTTTCCTTCCGGGAAAAGATTGTCCCACTCTTGACCTAACAATCAACATCGGCCCCTCTGTTGTTTCCCCGACTCAGACTGCAAGGAATCTGGGTGTGACCCTAGATAACAACCTGTCCTTCACTGCAAACCTCGCTGCTACAACCCGCTGCTGCAGATACACGCTTTACAACATCAGGAGGATACGTCCCCACCTGACCCAGAAAGCGACGCAGGTTCTGGTCCAGACTCTTGTCATCTCACGCCACCTTACGCCTCCCTCCTGGCTGGTCTGCCTGCATGTGCCATCCGACCTCTGCAGCTCATCCAGAATGCAGCTGCTCGTCTGGTCTTCAACCTTCCTACATTCTCCCACTAAGTGCTACTCAACTGGCTCTAGATAAGCCAGTCCTTTATTAGTATATAAGTGCTTTGATAGCAATTCTTTGTTAGTAATTATATCGCTCGAAGTGGAGTCGAAGACATCCTATTTTTATAATACTTTCCTTCCATCTTAAGTCACCTTAGTGAATCTCAAATTCATTATTAACAAGCATCCTAAGAACAAATATCAAAGAACATTTTAAACACTCCGCACTCCGCTCTGCATCAGCCAAACAGCTCGCTGCACCCGCACTGCGAGTGGGTTTGCTATCCTGGCTCCAAAATGGTGGAATGAGCTCCCCATTGAAATCAGGACAGCAGAAAGCTTACACATCTTCCAGCGCAGACTGAAAACTCATCTCTTTCGACTCCACTTCGATAGAATTACTAACAAAGCACTTATAAAGTAATAAAGGACTGGCTTATCTAAAGCCAGTTGAGTAGCACTTGAAATGTTTTGGCTCTATGAAACCTGATGTACTTATATGATTCTGTTTTCTTCAAGTTTGTATCTTCTTGGTCGAAAGCACTTATTGTAAGTCGCTTTGGATAAAAGCGTCAGCTAAATGCAATGTAATGTAATATAATAATGAATGTCACCTTTTTTATTCTCATACAGCCATAATCATTTAGTTATAGTTATTGTTTATCTTTTTCTTCTTCTTCTTTTTGGTATTATTCTGCTCCCTCTTTAAACCTGATACATTATAAAACCATAAGTCTGCAAGGTTCTTTGCATAATGCCGAATTAAAAAACGTTATAGGAATGATATGAACATTGAATGCCTCTTTCTCATTCGAAAAACACACAAACACTTGACAATTTGCTACATAAATAGATATCAAAGGACAGAAGGGAAATGAGGTATGTTATCTTTGATCAAAACTCTTGATAGGTCCACTGTACAAAAGAAGCAAATGCTCTGAAAGGATACACATTGTTAAAGCAACCCTCCCCGGAGAGATCCAGTTGTTGTAAAAAAGTTGTTAATATTCTATGTATTTCTTCTTGAAGACAGATTGAGGCCAACCTGCAGTGTGTGTCATCCTCTTCTCCAAACAAATCATCAGCAGGGGAATAACGAAGAGCGCTGTTTCATCTTTGGTATTCTGTTGTCTCTTGCATAATTGACGGACATTAACTTCCCATCAAGCAAGTGTAATTATTATCAATTTTCCAATAAGGCTCACAATTAAGGGAGAAATTTGATTGGTTAGAGTTTAACCCCAGAGCCTAATGAAGATATGCACGCAAACAAATTCATCAAGTTGATGGTGTGTCAGAGTAAACATCTGGAGATGGGACTCTTTACTCAGTGTCGCTGACGGAGCTAGATAATGACCTTAAATGCACTTTTTATATTGTGCATGTTAAGTGAATGCTCTTAATTAATGAGAAGATCAGTCAGTTATTGCTATAAAATAGACTTTATGAATTTTGCATTGCTTAAAAAGTTAATTTAGGGCAAGTTAGTTTACATGGCATCAAAGCTGGAATGGACCAATATCCACAATGAGTACTTTTAATTGAGTACGGTACTTTAAATGTCTTTTGATGCTAATACTTTAAAGGGGACCTATCATGCAAAATGCCCTTTTTGATGTCTTTTATACATAGATATGTGTGAGCATGTGTGTGAAGAAGCAGGAAATAAAAAGGAACTCACCTTGTGGTATAACCGGCAAGAGAGAAAGCCTTTGAGCTCCATACTGTTTCAGAAATAATCCTTGATAATCCATGATGTGGCGTTTCATCACCGCAGAATCTGCCAGTAGAATCTCTTACATTCTCTAGAATCTCAATCTTTAAAGCTTTATACCCCAAATTAGCACTTTTGAAACAGGAAGTGAAATAGAGGGATATGAGGCATGGCTGGAATGGGCGATCTGTTTGGTATTTTGAGCAAAACACTTCATAGACATGTTTTTATATATTTGTATATGTCTGAGACCTACCCAGCTAGAAATGTTTGGTTCTAAAAACATTCTGAGAATGTTACAGTCATTGTTCTAGGAAGGTTTTCAGCGGGAAGTTTTTGTTTGGTTCCCAGAACGTTCTTCTGAAAGGTAGGATAACGTTCTCTAAAAACATTCTTAAAATGTTTGGTGATAACATTGTGAGAACATTATGCCCTCCTATTCTTAAAACGTTTTCAGCGGGAAGTTTTTGTTTGGTTCCCAGAATGTTCTTCTGAAAAGTAGGATAACGTTCTCTAAAACATTCTTAAAATGTTTGGTGATAACCTTTTTTAAATGTTTTTGAAAACATTGTTAGAACATTATGTCCTACTATTCTTAAAACGTTTTCAGCAGAAGCTTTTATTTTTGGTTCCCATGAATGTTCTTCTGAAAGGTAGGATAATGCTGAAAACGTTTTAAGAATAGTAGGACATAATGTTCTAACAATGTTTTNCACAGATAACAAAAGGGAGTCGGACACAAGACTAAGGAGACCAACATAGGAGGGACAACCCAGGGCCCCAGGTGTGCACAATCACCCGCCCCAAAGCCATCAGTCCATAGTGACGCAGTTCCCTGCGTCACAAGCTGTCTGAGGTATTTTGTATCCTGTTTGAAAAAAACAACTTTTTAAAGCTCGCAATCACCTCCAGGCCAATCAGTATATTTGTTAGCCCTGAGGGTAAGCTGCCATGAATTACAAAGCCACATTAGTAACACTAACAGAGCAGAAATCTCATCACATGACTGAACAAAAAGACAAAAGCAAAGAACCTGACAAACACTGACATTTCACAAAACAAAGAACACAATGATTTTACGCAAAACAAATGAACCTATAGGCAAGACCTGTACACACACAGGAGGAAACACACATTTAAACCTGCAAACATGGAGTGTTAGGGACGGGTCGGGGGAGCGCTAAGCTAATGACTGTGTTATGGCCTTTGACATCTGTTTTGCAGATTCAAATGAAACCAGCTTGGGTGAACTTTGAACCATTGACCAATAGCAATGCTAACCTTACAAGAAACAGAGAGCCACAGAGTCAAAATGGAGCTTATAACAGTGCAATATCTACCTTTATTTAACTGATCTCTGACCGGTAAACTTATATAACTGTGTCTTTCAAATCAACTTTAACAAGCAAAATTCCTTATGCAATAACTGAATAAACTAATATTTCCAAAAATATTACATTACATTAGCTGACGCTTTTATCCAAAGCGACTTACAATAAGTACATTCGACCGGGAAGATACAACCTTGAAGAAAACAGAATCATATAAGTGGATCAGTTTTCATAGAGTCAAACATTTCAAGTGCTACTCAACTGGCTTTAGATAAGCCAGCCCTTTATTAGTATATAAGTGCTTTGTTAGTAATTCTATCGAAGTGGTGTCGAAAGAGATGAGTTTTCAGTCTGCGCCGGAAGATTTGTAGGCTTTCTGCTGTCCTGATTTCAATGGGGAGCTCATTCCACCATTTTGGAGACAGGTATATAAAACCCACGTGTTTTTGCTGATGGGAACTTGGGTCCCCCTCGCAGTGCGGCCGATGCAGAGCGGAGTGCACGTGCTGGGGTGTACGGTTTAACCATGTCCTGGATGTAGGAAGGGCCAGATCCATTCGCAGCATGNAGGATGACACCCAGGTTGCGGGCTTCAGGAGATGGGGAGATGGAGCAGCCGTCAACCTCGAGGATGAAGTCACCAACCTTCTGGAGCAGCGCCTTGGGTGCCACAACCATGAGCTCTGTTTTCCTGCTGTTTAGTTTGAGATAGTTGCAGGACATCCATGCTTTGATGTCATTCAGGCCGTTGATGAGAGACTGAGGGGGGAGCTGGGAGGATGGAGTGGTGCTGAGATACAGTTGGGTATCATCAGCGTAACAGTGGAAATTGAGTCCATGATGTCGGATGATCTGGCCGAGGGGGAGCATGTAAATGGTGAACAGGAGGGGGCCAAGCACAGAGCCCTGGGGTACACCGTGGTGGACTGGGGCCGGGGGTGAATTTGAGCCGTTGATGGAGACAAACGGTTTCCTGTTATGGAGGTAAGATGTGAACCAAGACAGCGCTGTGCCAGTGATACCTAGGAGGTCTGAGAGGCGGATGAGGAGGATGGTGTCAAACGCTGCAGAGAGGTCCAGGAGGATGAGGATGCTGAGGAGGCCAGAGTCAGAAGCAATGAGGAGATCGTTGGTGCTCTTGATGAGGGCGGTCTCAGTGCTGTGTTGCTGTCTGAAGCCGGATTGGAAGGGCTCATAGAGCTCATGGTTGGACATGTACAGATGGAGTTGGCCGAAGACTACTCTTTCCAGAGTTTTGCTTAGGAAAGGAAGGTTGGAGATCGGCCGGTAGTTCTGGAGGGATAAAAAGATACATTTCATTCATTCAAGCGCCTCACCTGGTCAGGGGTTGCTGTGATGGGGCCCGGCACTTGGGAGGTGTGTGTGGGGGGGCCAGGAGATGGGATGGGGGAAGGGGTCACAGCGGCAGGAGAGACCGGGGCGAGGTACTTGATCATGGCTGGGTCCACCTCTGGGGTTCCCTGGAGGAAGAAGAAAAATACCCCATAAGATATTGCTTTGTGAATATACAGATGTGTTTGTGCTGTGTTTCTTTCTCACTCTCTGCGGTGTGTGGATGGGAGACAACGCATCCAGGTCCGCCATCGGGAACTCAATGCCTTTCCTCTTCAGCTCTTCGTAAATGTGGACCACACCAGTGAGATCAGGGCTGCTCCTGAAGGCATCAGCCCAGGACTGACACAAACACAAAGACAGTATAAACAACCAAAACAATTTAAATAGAGTCCTTTTACTTTGTTCTCGTCATCGATAGTGGTCATTTGCATTAAAATACTCTATTTAAATAGTAAGGGAAACAAATGTTTTGTATAGATATTTGCTTTTATGAAAAATAACTCTTTAGTAATTAAATGCTGTATTAAGAGCAGCTTAGTGTAGGAAGATAAACAGGTCATTTAAAAAATATATATATATTACAGCCGAATTAATTTAATTATTTTAACAACATTACATTTAAACCTCTTTGATTGAAGATGAGAAATTATTGTACATGTATAAATGTAAATGTAAGTAGGAATAACTTGCATAGGGATTTAAAGGAAAATCATTGATCAAGTAAGGGGTGGGAATTAATAAGCATTTGCTTCTTCCTGCTCCCTTTTCGGACACATTCATTATTATTAAGATGAAGACTTTTTTTGTTGAATATATAAATATTATCATGAATGTGGATAAATACTGTATTTTAACAATACGGTATTTGTTATTTTTTTTAATCTGTTCGAAATAAAGATTGAAATTAAATTAAATGAAACCCATCATAATACCTTTTGCCTAACCTCCGTAAAAAAGAATAATTCATGTTTAAGAAAGAAACACTCTCTGATGTGGACAATAGACCACAGAACAGAAAACGGTGTCTAAAGTGGGGTGTCCTTCAAAAATCCCTATAAATAATCAGAGGACAGAGCAGCGAGGCGGAGAACACCACCTGCCGTCTGAGGTGGCCTCTAGTAACAAGACGGGAGGCTGCAGTCTGCGGTACAACATCTGGAAAGTGGAACATGCGGCAGCCACTTGGCTTCAACCACTAATCTACCATCACACCATAATAACATGATTTCAAAATGTCCTGCATCACCACATTTGTGAATGGAGCCATAGGGAGAAGTCAGTATAACCAGAAACCTGTTTGCAATTGTTTTGTACCTTTGTATAAGAAAATACCAACATAAAAGTGGTAATAATGATGAAACGGCAGTAACCAAGAAAGGCTTAATACCTGTATGAGCGCCAGCACTTTGTCTTGTACGATGGTTGGAGGATTGTTTTTGGGGGAGATGACTTTGACCAACACACCCTCGATGAAATCTCTGGTGGCCACCTGCACATGAAACCTGTGACCACAGTTCTTCACACAGGTCTCCAAAGCCTGCAGAGAGGGAGACAATTAAACACAGACAGAAGCCGGGCAAAGGAAACGGAAAACGGGAACATTTGTGAGAGGTTGATGAAAACAGAAAGACTTCTAAGTCACGTTGCTTTTACCGCACAGAGAGAATTTTAACTAGATGAACTATCAAAGATGTGAACACGGTTTAAAAGGCATGGCTGCTATAAACAAAATAAAAGATGTGCAATATAAACATAACTTCGGCCGGGGAGGAGAAACAGTCAAATAAAATGACCAAGAAAAAACACAATCTGTGGAAAGGTCAAGTTTTATGCAGGGGACACTCCTTTTATGTGGCCTACACAGTGAAAAGCAACTTTGGTCACGGCTTCCTCAGAATAAAAACCTCAGGAAATGTTGCAAGGTTCAAAGCCATTCCATTTCTAAAGAAGTTGCGTTTGATGCCAGTTTTACAATAAACACAATGTCAAAGTAAAAGGTTCTCACCGTCAGCGCCAGCATCACTTCTCTGTAGTTCTTGTTGCCACCAAGTCTCTTCTTTAATGCCCGCATGGCATCTTTTGGCCTGGAGGGAAACAGCAGAGAAGACACAGCTGGATGAAGCACCCCAGCTGAGAGTAGGCATAACATCTTTGGCTTTGTAGGAATCAATTCTTTTCTGTGCCACAATAACAGATGCCAGTCAGTCTGTCAGCGTATCTGTTTGACTAAGATAGAGAAGTGCTGTCACGCCATCTGTGTCCCTGATTGACTATCTATTCTCTCCCAAGGCCAGATCAAAGCTGTCAAAACATGAAGACTTCAGGTTGGCTCTCTGCCTCAAACTGCAGTCAAGCTTTTATGGACTCTTTTATCAGCTACATGTGGCTCTTTGTTGAGCGTTGGAGCTGAAAAAGATTGAAATGGGAGGAGAAAGTGCACAAAATCTGATATGTAGCTCCCTTAAACAGCACTGTAAATGTGAATCTGAGTCAGTACAGTCGCCTTGTGTTGGTTCTTTTCGGCTTTGGATGCAGCATCTGTTTTGTTATATTTTGTTTCGGCACCCGGTCGCATGTGTTAAGACAACATTATGCTCACCAAGTAAGGAATTTTCAGTTGCGGAATTTCCCAAACATCGAGGCTAAATGTGATAACCAGACAATGTGTAACTCGCAGAAACATCTTGAAGACAAGGCGTTCTGTGTTCTGTGAATCAAACTGTGGATGTGTGTGTGGACGTACGACAATGAGTTGTGTGTAGGCATGAAGAATGTGAGAAGCAGGGACAAAAAGACAAAAGGGAAAGTGCTGAGGGAATAATGAAAAAGATGGATTTTTACAATTATTAGAGACGAGAAAACTTGGATATGTTGGATGGGATTGCTTTCTGATTAAAATGCCTAGGCTGCAATGCAAAACCTGATATTGTCTGATTTAAAATGAGTGATGCCGATGCAGATTTATGTATGAAAACTGACATCATTTCCTAAAAAAGGTACTAAAAATACACATGTTACTACATTTAGTCTTGATTGTGTTCACCATCATAAGGCAGGAGACTGACGACCGAATTTCATTAATTTCTTATTTCACTCAGTGACACGTACAGAAAACAAAGACTTTCTGTGGGACGGTGCCGGCTGGTGAAGCACAGCAGTCACTGTATTAATTGTTATTCATTGAGCCAGTGTGACAACTGACCAATTCAGGAAGCAGAAGTTTTGGTCCAACATAACGTTAATAAAGCACATTATAACCCAACAATGATCAAATCTAGACAGCGCGACAGCTCACCCCTCGTCAGTCTCGTTTATGATGTCACAGATCTCCATGTTGACGGTCCAGTCCTCGTTCTGGAGGCCTCCATCTGTGGCCCTCTCTGCAGGAAAACACAAAAGAAAATATTTAAACAATTATTTATTTAAAAAATAAACGGTGCTCATTCATTTTTGTCTGTGCCTCTACATTTGGGTTTGAGTACCAGTGCCCCTTATATTAAATGAGGAGCCCTGACTTTACTTCATTATAGTCTTCGCTATGCTGTAGCTCACATAAGAAGAAGTCATTTGCATGTGAGACAGGAAGCTGGGGGCTTTTTAAAAAGAACAACATCGTTTACAAACCAAAATAATGCAAGTTTAAATTTAGACGATACCATTCAGTGGAGAGATGCAACTGTCAGTAGATTGTTTTAGTTTTGTCTTTGTAATACTTCTTAATAATCGTGGCTAGTACTATGTTTTATTTCCAGGTTCTCTGTTTGTCTGCCTGATGAAACTGCATTATGGGTCGTCTGTGCTAAAGTCAATGCATTGCATTAAAGCAACACATGGTTTACATAACATTGGAAGTAAAACTGTTGTGTAAGCAAATCAGCATGGGGTGACATACTTTTCTGTCTCTGCAATATTCAGCCAGACATTCGATTTCTACACTTTAAAGCCCCTATAAACTTGGCTTTGAACCATGTGTACTTCTCTGTAAAAGTATATTATAACTATACAACTAAAACAATCAATTATTAACTTACATTTCAAATACAATTCCAGGGAATGGTGTTTTTTATTTTGACATTTAATTACTCAGGACTGTGAGGCCCATGCTATGTCGTTGTTTTTTCTTTTAAAAAGGTGCGTACAGTATAATTCATTAATAACCTTTATTGGAAATGAATCTGTCAGAAGGGTTTGGATAACATATTGGGTAAGGATCGTGGGGCTCAGATAAATCAGACAAATACAACTATTTTAGTTTTTAATAACATGAATGTTATCTCAGAGAAACCCATAAGACGTTTAAAAACACATCCACCACCTGTTGCTCCCATGCCTCAAACTAGGGCTGCTCAATTAATCGTATTTTAATCGCGATTACGATTATGGCTTGCAAAGATTACGAAAACAACATAACCTAAATAAATTATTTTTTATTATGACTTTTATTTATTTATTTTTTTGGTTTTTCAGTTGAATTATACTTAAAGTTCAGGGTAATCAACTGTTAAAAACATACTGTTCAAAAAAAATTCTCCAATAAATCGATGTTTTCAAAGTCAATGAATAATCGCATTTAATAATCGCAATTACAATTATTGACCCAAATAATCGAGATTGTGATTTTTGCCATAATCGAGCAGCCCTACCTCAAACTAAATAGTAAATTAACTAAACGAACCTAGACTATTTCAGACGAAAGAGAAGCTGGTGTTGGGTCTGATACAGCTATATGTACTCAGTCTTACGTGGTATAAACGCTGAAAAACAGAAGTCCCTGAGCCCTGTTGCTTTCAAACCCCACCCTACCATTTAAAATCTTTGTGTCTACAGCCAGGAGATAATGTGCTCCAGACTGTGAGAAGCTAGTGATGAACGAGCACGGCATTCATCGCTGCGTTCCTCGCTCCGTCTCTTCCTTCCTCTCTTGTCGCCCAAATCCATCCATCATGTCAGTGAAAGCTGAGATCTTTCAGGATCGCAGTCATCTGGGGTGAATTTCACAGTGGAACAGGAAAAAAGCTTTTCTACTGAAGTGAGCTGAGACCAAGTTCCTGTGACTGACAGTCAATAGATTCTCATTAGACGATTCTTGGGTTTGGACAGGAGGAGCCCCTCTCCCTGAAGCCCAGGGGCCCCGAGCCGGCTGTCATGCCCGGGCCAGCAGCCTCTCATTGGGCCAGGCTGCCTTACTTTTGGGAGGCTCAACATTGGACAAGTCTGACAGCCATGACTTATTCATGCCCTATCTCCCCTCTCTAATCAACTCGTCACACACTGAGCCAGCACTGAGGGATAGGCATCCTTTTCTGAGAGGATCCATCTTTACTCTCACCTACAAATCTGAAGACATAGAGACAATACAGTTCACTGCTGTGTGTTTCTGTGTTAGACTGAACATAATGTATAAGATTGGAGTCATTATCAAGCTTCTGCCATTAGGACATCCCGTATAATCTTCTCAGGTGGATTTTCAAGTCAAGACAGGGCAGAACACGAGGTGCAGAGGAGAGTAAAAAAAATCTGATCTCTTCATTTGAAATGAGCTGGAACGCCTCTGAACAATCAGAGCCTTGCTGCTAATGAAGTGATTGCCTGCTCAGAGAATTCATTCACGGGGTTGTGTCAGTCGCCCCAGTACGGGGAATGGACACACCAGTGAAGCCAGTCGATCACATGGCTTTAGCTTTAGTGGCTGGCTGTGCCATCCGCTGCCAACAAAGCCATGAATCTCTGCCCCTCTCTGGCCCCATCTCTGCAGGTTTCTGTCCTTTAAAGACTCTAGAGAAGCTTAAGATAGCCAACATAGCTTCCGATTCTGTTTATGTACCAAGCTATTTGGCATACAAAATATTATTCAGATTTTCTAAATGGTCAAATAGTGGAAGACCTTCTTAAATTCAGAATTTTAAATCTTGCATGATATTCTGAAACGGAAAACAGTCTGTGGACACATGCCAACTAAGGTTTTGAAAACAGGGGCGGTTCACTTAAATGTACTTTCATCCATCCATTCATGACTGTGAATGAATTACTGCATTACAAATACCACTCATTGAGAATGTGCTAGAATCATCTGATTATAAGGTTTATCTTTCGGAAATAGATGTACAGCAGTGGAGAACAATCAGGGTAAATTACTTCTGCCGCATGAGAAAGAGAAAAAAAAAAATCACCACCTCTAACCCCTCCATCTTCTCGGTCACTTACACTAAGTTCTTTCCAATGCCTCCCTCAGCATCTGTTCTATTGATTTTCTCTAATTGTTTCAGGTAAGCTGATCCTGTGTCAGCTGTGGTTTACAGTACCAGCCGAACAGACAGCAGGCGGTACAGCTCCAGCAGCAGCTCGACCGGAGAGATGAGACTGGAGATACAGCCGTCTCTATGGGGGACATTTAAGATGTGCTGCTACAGCCCACAGAATGACACAGAATTACCTAAAAGGACCTCTGTCGAGCGAAATGCCTGAGAGGAGGGTCACAGTTGGTAGCTGAGGGCCGTCTTGGGATGACATGGCACAAAGCAGCTGACCGGCGGGTGGTGGGCAACAGTTCAAAGGCCCCTCTAACTCCTAAAACCTTCCTTCCTCCAAACTGCTTCTATTCAGTGCACAAAAAAGCTACTTTCGGTCGCTAGGAACTGAAAATATCTTCTAGAAACATGAGAAGCATGTGTGCTTTTCTGTCTCATTATAAAACCTTGGTGACAACTTATCTGGGTCAGAGATTATTTATCTGAGTTTTGCAAACAACAAGCAAGATTGAAAGATAAATGCAACCACACCAGAGGGATGTGGTAGGCCACAAGTCTCTCTCATCATCTGCAGGACGAACAAGCACTTCCGCGCAACGCTTCGAGGCTTAAAACTCAAACCAACCAGACTGACCACAGAAATCAAAGCTTAAAAAGGATTTAAGGACATATTGAGCTTCGACTAGGCTAAGGCTCTGCAAGCCCCTTTGAGACATGACACTAACACTGCCCATGCCATTTACTCGTGTTTTCCTTGAGAATTGCACTGTATTGTCTAAACATATTCAGTTCTATACACTTATAACAGAGGACTAAGTTAGGTGGGCTAACATTAGCTGTTCATTTCAAGTAGCTGACGTTTGCTGCGATGATGCTTGCTAGCTCGCTATTTTCGTAACGTAATTCCTCGTAGTAAAACAGCCACGCTGACACAATGTATGCAGCAGAATCACATCTACAATGAATAACTTCAAGGATAACGTACCTATACATTGGCCCACGGGAGTGCCGTACGGATTTCCAAGTAAGAACTCCATTTTGACAACAAACAATCCGTTTGGGATTGACAAGAGGCTGAGGCACCGAGGCGGTACTAAGTCCCGCCCACTGAGGAATACTATTGGTCAAAAAAACTGAAGGCTCAAGGCATATGGCTAGAATCAACGTCAGTTATATTTAGCAACGAAAGCTATGTTCAACAAACAGTTGTATAAATGTTAGCCACCATATAAACATGTATTTTACTTAAAAGCGCCGTATTAGTCTCTATACAATGTTGAGAAATACACAAACAACGATATAAACAATTGACTCGAGTATTCATCCTCTGAATATATTGTATATAAATGTACATCAGGGTGATTCACTGGGTATTTACTTCATTGTAGTTGAAAAAAAGAACGATAAAAAAACAGAAGACTACGTTACACCGAGTCTTAGTTTCATCGTGGGCACCATTATTTTAATGTGTGTTGTTATTATATTCATTCACAAGAAAAGCAAGAATGTTCGGAGTTGAGCGTTTATTTTTACAGCATTTTTGGAACATACTTGAACGCAGCTTAGGTTCAGCCGGTTGCTATGTAACAGTGTGTAAACAACAGCGGCAAGAAGTTAGAGTTTATCTAGCTAAGTTAGGTACTATTGCATTGTTTGTTGTATTTAAAATACTTTTGCAGTTTTGATTACTAGTTTTTTTTTGTTGGCTAATGTTGGCTATGATGTTTGTCTGGTAAACTCATTTAAATCTACAAAATACAATCTACTTTCTCCTTTGAGCAGTGGGAGTGAAGTAAAGCGTACCCTACAAGGATGATGAGTCGTGGTATTTTGATGAATGAGGATTTGCTTCAGCGGGCAATATTGGAGCAAGAACCCAAAGATAAAGGTCAGGGCATTGCCAATGAAGAGGGAACCCAGCTCGATGAAATCCTTAAACTATGTCTGGAATTCAGAAGTAAGTAAAATACAATGTGGGTTATCACTGTGATTTGGATTTCAGGTATTTGAAGGTTGTTTGTTCACAGACATCCTGAGGATTGACCACTTATGGGAATTCACATCCTTGGCCAGACTCAATCTGAATAACAACCTCATTGAAAACATTGAGGGTCTGGATCATCTGATTAATCTGACATGGCTTGGTAAATTAAGTTGTTTTTTTTATGTTTTGCTATGCTTTCTTTAAATGATTGTGCAGGCTTTATCAAAGATGTTGTCTTAAAATATGAGCCCCGTAACTTTGAGTAATAATGACATTTACTCTGAATATGTCTTTTAGATCTGTCATTCAACGGCATAGAACTAATTGAAGGTCTGGAGTCCTTGCAGAAGCTTGAACTGCTGAATTTGTCCGACAACAAAATCTCTGTTCTCGAAAACATGGAAACACTTGAGAGACTCACTCATTTCTCCATTGCGAACAACCTCCTTGGAGAGTTGGACATCGTACGACAACATTTTCTTGTATAAATCTGTCACATATTATGTGTAAAATGCTACATTTATATTGCAAGATTAATATAAGATTTGTACTTTGAAGTTTCATAATATAAAATAACCTAATCTCATACAATTTGAATGCATTTCAAAGGTGCTCTATCTCAGGAAGTTCAAGAACCTGTTCAACATCAACCTATTTGGAAACCCTTGCAGTAAGGAAGGCGATTACACATTGTTCATCGCAGCCTTCTTTCCAGACTTGAAGTTCCTAGATTACACTTTACTTGACGAAAATACAGTAAGTATAAGTGCTGTGTTTTTAATAAAACATTACTATGCCTTAGTTTATGTGAAAATTCCACATGGCTATTTACATGTTGTTGTGATGATATTGTGTAACTTCATTTGTGTCTATGTCTTGTGTGTCTATGTACAGAAGAAAGAAGCATCTATCAAACACCGCTATGTCCTTGAGGAGATGAAATGTGAGGAGCTGCACAAGCAAAAAGCTGAAAAAGCTGAGCAACGCAAGGAGGCTGAAGCCAAATTACACAATGTAAAGTGAAGCTGACATGTGGTTATCATCAACATTATATTCCACTGAGCTCTCATATTTCTTAAACTTACTTTGTAAAAATGATGTTCATGATAGGATGCCTTTGTGGAGTTCCTGAATGGCTCTGACCTGTTTAAGTGCATGTTCAACGACGACCAAGAGGCAGATAAACTGCACCGTGTGCCTGAAATCACTGATCTGCTTCTAACATATCCTTTTAGACCAAATGTAATAATAATAATGTGTTATGTAATCACAGGAAAAAATACCTTGAATTCCTTAACCATACCCTTACATTTGAGAAACAAATGGGGGATCTGTGCGAGCAAGTATTTGAAACAGGCTTGGCTGAACATAAACGAAGAGACAAAGAAGTGAACTGCTTTTTCACTGGTCAGAATGAGACTGTGATTGAATATCAGCAGAAAGCATTGCACATATTGGCAAACTTCGAGCAGCAACACAAAGAGGTAGGTGTTAGGACCAGACTGTTTTCAACTGTACTGTACCATATTTAGATGGACCAGTAAAGCAGCTTTTAGCAACCAATATAAGGATGTTTTTCTTGTTTTTATTTCTAGAGGACAGTGGACATGCGGAAGATATCAGACAGAGAATTACTGAAGGTCCAGATCAACCAGTGCAATGATGAAATCAACCAACTCTGTAAAGGCCTCATGACGCTGGAGTTTCAGATGGTCAGCCAGCTGGAGGTCAGTGTGTGTGTGTGTGTGTGTGTGTGTGTGTGTGTGTGTGTGTGTGTGTGTGTGTGTGTGTGTGTGTGTCGTCGTACGTACGTCGTCGTCGTCGTCGTTCGTTCGTTCGTTCGTTCGTTCGTTCGTCGTCGTCGTCGTCGTCGTCGTCGTCGTCGTCGTCGTCGTCGTACGTAC